GGGGCATCAAGGCATATAAAAAGGGTAAATGACACGAAAAAAAATGTGTAAATATGTATTGCAAAATATAATTTACACACATGCAGGTCAAGGCAACTTCTTAATTGCTTCCCTGGCATGTATAATTTAAATTAGTGCCACTTAATATATGCATTACTAATGTTATGATTATTATTATTATTTTATTCATGGGGAAGTCGTCGACTCAGGAGCATCATACAGCACCTGGGAAATTTACATACATATGAAATCCATTTGCAGTCGTATTATTAGGGATTTACATATTTTGAAAACAAAAATATTTTGGAGATATTACAGGATAGGTATATGTTTTCCATCACATTCTGGAGATATTACAAGACAAGTACAGTAGCCCCCCCCCCATATCTGCAGGGGGACACATTCCAAGACCTACAGTGGATACCCGGAACTGTGAATAGTACCAAACCTTATATATGTCGTTTTTCGTTTACATACATACCTATGATAAAGATTAATAAATTACACACTTTTTCACTGATGGGAAGCACTTCACGACTGCTCTTAGGCACCACTACTTCTGTGTTTTGGTGTCAGTTTTAAGCAAAAGTAAGGGTTATTTTTTGTAAGCATTGTTGTAAGTTATATACAGATGAATTTCATTGAATTATTCTTCTTATTCTTTGATACTGTGGACCCCCTTGCCAAGCCCCAGCAGAGAGGGGCTCTACATTCCCACCTGAGTTCAGTAACCAGCTTCCCTTCAAAGACTGATAAAGAATTTTCCACAGAGCGGAAAAAATGGAGCTGGCTAAAAGTAAGCCAATGAACAGGTGCCCCTCCTGTAGAGTGCCCAGCAGGCAAAAAACGATGAGGACAAGCGTCCCAGAGAGAACGGTGGAAATTTGTCACTGATACACAGGCGAGAGAGAGACGTCCACACCCGATGAAGGCTGGCGCAGAAGTCCTTCATGTTGTCTGCCACTGCTACCTCATGATGTCTGCCACTGCTGCTTCATGTTGTCTGCTGTTGCTGCATCATGTTGTCTGCTACTTCTTCATCATGTCTGCCACTGCTGCTTCATGTTGTCTGCCACTGCTGCTTCATGTTGTCTGCCACTGCTGCTTCATGATGTCTGCCACTGCTGCTTCATGTCTGCCACTGCTGCTTCATGTTGTCTGCCATTGCTGCTTCATTTTGTCTGCCACTGCTGTTTCATGTTGTCTGCCACTGCTGCTTCATGTTGTCTGCCACTGCTGTTTCATGATGTCTGCCACTGCTGCTTCATGTTGTCTGCCACTGCTGCTTCATGTTGTCTGCCACTGCTGTTTCATGATGTCTGCCACTGCTGCTTCATGTTGTCTACCACTGCTGCTTCATGTTGTCTGCCACTGCTGCTTCATGTTGTCTGCCACTACTACCTCATGATGTCTGCCACTGCTGCTTCATGTTGTCTGCCACTGCTGCTTCATGTTGTCTGTCACTGCTGCTTCATGATGTCTGCCACTGCTGCTTCTTGTTGTCTGCCTCTGCTGCTTCATGTTGACTGCCACTGCTACCTCATGATGTCTGCTCCTACTTTTGCTAGCATGTTGAAGAAAGAGCTTTCCAATATATGAAGGTTGAGGGGCAGTGCTAATCGGACAGGTATTGCTTACTCTTGAACATCGCCAAAGAATCGAACATTTCTGCTACTTTGAGCTCAATTTCAAGGTACTTATCGTTGTGAAACCAATCAAAATCATATCTATTTCTGTAGTATATCTTCCATTCTATCAAACGAGAAAAAAAACAAGAATACAACCCTAAAAACTATACGAAAATATACCACTAAGGGGAGGCTAGTGGCTGAAAAGTGACTGAAAAGCGACTTTAGAACTAGCTCCTAGAATGGATTAAGTTCGAAACTCGGGGTACCACTGTACATTTTTATTATTTAAAAACCAATAACAAAAAACTGGGGTCGTTTTTTGGAGGCTGGAATGCATTAATGACATTTCAATTAATTTCAGTGAGGGAAAATTGGGACTTCTGCGCCAACCTTCGTTGGGTATGGATGTCTCTTTCTCACCTGAGTATCAGTGATAAATTTCCCCCGTTCTCTCTGGGATGCTTGTCCTCATCTATTTTGCCTACCGGGCACTCTACAGGTGGGGCACCTGTTCATCGGTTTACTTTTAGCCAGCTCCATATTTCTGCTCTGCGGAAAATTCTTTATCGGTCTTTGGTGGGAGGCTGGTTACTGAACTCAGGTGGGGGTGTGGGCATCCCTCTCTGCTGGGGCTTGGCAAGGGGGTCCACCAGATCTAATTGGAAACTTCAGGTTTCTATCTCTGTTTGCAAAGGAACTTTTGTTCCTTTTCTTTCATCACCCAACCTTGGGCAACAAATCTTCCTCATACCATCAAGCAGCTGGGCTCGAGACGGCTTATGCTGTCAGTGGCCCTGATAAAGCCAACAAAGAAAGAAGAAAGAAAGTGAGGAAAATTGATTTGACATACTATACGAGCAAATTGAGTTACGAGCTCAGACATGGAGCGAATTAAACTCGTAAGTCAAGATACCACTGTACTGTATTTACTGTACATCGAGATTATTATTATTATTCTAATTATATATGAGGAAGCACTAATTCCATAGGGTTTTTAGCCACCTAGGATTGAATATAATCAGGTTTGATCCAAAGAAGGGGAGAGTAGCTCAAATTCCTTGGATCGAGAGTCCTGCATCATCTAGGGACTCTCCCTTTCCCTTTGTAATCCTTGAGGGTCCCTCAGGTTGTGTGGCTCAGCTGTATCTGCCTACTAATTGATTCCCAAAATTAATTCATTGTGAGTTTTCCTTCATTTTAATAACTGTGGAGATGACATTATATATTACACATCACCCTCCCCCCACACACACATACATACATACATGTATACATACATATACATATATACATTGTATACATATACATACATACAATTTGCCAACCACTTCAAAGCTAGTGGTAAAAAGTACCTCCTTACCTTAATGTGATCCTGACAACAATTTATTATGTCAAATATATCTCGAAACTCTGTCTTTCATCTAACAGTGTTCCTATTCTTGTTCCATCTTTCCTTCCATTCTTATATATTACTAGATAGACATATACTCTCTACTTATATTTTGTAACAGTTCAGGTAACTCACTTTATTTTTATTGTAATTGTTACTAAAATTATTATTTTGAGTTACCTGGAGTTTACCTGGAGAGAGTTTCGGGGGTCAATGCCCCCGCGGCCCGGTCTGTGACCAGGCCTCCTGGTGGATCAGCGCCTGATCAACCAGGCTGTTGCTGCTGGCTGCACGCAAACCAACGTACGAGCCACAGCCCGGCTGATCAGGAACTGACTTTAGGTGCTTGTCCAGTGCCAGCTTGAAGACTGCCAGGGGTCTGTTGGTAATCCCCCTTATGTGTGCTGGGAGGCAGTTGAACAGTCTCGGGCCCCTGACACTTATTGTATGGTCTCTTAACGTGCTAGTGACACCCCCTGCTTTTCATTGGGGGGATGGTGCATCGTCTGCCAAGTCTTTTGCTTTCGTAGTGAGTGATTTTCGTGTGCAAGTTCGGTACTAGTCCCTCTAGGATTTTCCAGGTGTATATAATCATGTATCTCTCCCTCCTGCGTTCCAGGAATACAGGTTTAGAAACCTCAAGCGCTCCCAGTAATTGAGGTGTTTTATCTCCGTTATGCGCGCCGTGAAAGTTCTCTGTACATTTTCTAGGTCGGCAATTTCACCTGCCTTGAAAGGTGCTGTTAGAGTGCAGCAATATTCCAGCCTAGATAGAACAAGTGACCTGAAGAGTGTCATCATGGGCTTGGCCTCCCTAGTTTTGAAGGTTCTCATTATCCATCCTGTCATTTTTCTAGCAGATGCGATTGATACAATGTTATGGTCCTTGAAGGTGAGATCCTCCGACATAATCACTCCCAGGTCTTTGACGTTGGTGTTTCGCTCTATTTTGTGGCCAGAATTTGTTTGTACTCTGATGAAGATTTAATTTCCTCATGTTTACCATATCTGAGTAATTGAAATTTCTCATCGTTGAACTTCATATTGTTTTCTGCAGCCCACTGAAAGATTTGGTTGATGTCCGCCTGGAGCCTTGCAGTGTCTGCAATGGAAGACACTGTCATGCAGATTCGGGTGTCATCTGCAAAGGAAGACACGGTGCTGTGGCTGACATCCTTGTCTATGTCGGATATGAGGATGAGGAACAAGATGGGAGCTAGTACTGTGCCTTGTGGAACAGAGCTTT